ATGACATGATATTATACGTAGAAAACCCTAAAGACTCCATCAAAAATCTACTAGACTTAATAAATGAATTTGGCAAAGTAGCAGGATACAAAATTAATGTCAAGAAATTGACGGCATTCTTATACACCAATGACAAACTCACAGAAAGGGAAACTGAAAAAAAATCCCATTTTCCATTGGGGCAAAAAAAAAAAGATACCTAGGAATAAACGTAACCAAAGAAATAAAGGACCAATTTGCAGAAAACTACAGGACATTGAAAAAAGAAATAGAGGAAGATATTAAAAAGTGGAAACACATGCCTTGTTCATGGATTGGAAGAATTAACATCATTAAAATGTCCATACTACGCAAAGCAATCTATAGATTCAGTGCAATCCCCATCAAAATAACAATGACATATTTCACAGAACTAGAACAAATACTTCAAAAGTTCATATGGAACCAAAAAAGTCCCCGAATAGCCACAGCAATTTTGAAAAAGAAGGACAAACTATGTGGGATCACAATACTAGATATCAGGTTATACTACAAAGTGACTGTAATCAAAACAGCCTGATACTGGCAAAGGAAACAGGCATATAGACCAGTGGAACAGAACTGAGAACCCAGAAATAGACCCAAGGCAATATGCTCAATTAATATTTGACAAAGGTGGCAAGAGCATACAGTGGAGTAAAGATACCTTCTTTAATTAATGGTGTTGAGAAAATTGGACAGCTACATGCAAAATAATGAAACTAGACCATCAACTTACACCATACACAAAAATAAACTCAAAATGGATAAAAGACTTAAATGTGACTCGTGAATCCATAAAAATTCTAGAAGAAAATGTAGGCATCAAAATTTCAGACATCATACACAACAGAATGTTCACTGATACATCACCTAAGGCAACAGAAATAAAGGAGGAAATGAACACATGGGACTACATCAAACTCAAAAGCTTCTGCACAGCAAAAGAAACAGCCATCAAAATGGAAAGGCAACCCATAGTATTGGAGAACATCATTGCCAATGATACATCAGATAAGGGGTTAATTTCCAAAATATATACTCATACAACTCAACAAAAGGAAGACCAAGAACCCAATTAAAAAATGGGCAGAGGAGCTGAATAGACACCTCTCCAAACAGGACATACAAATGGCCAAGAGACATATGAAGAAATGCTCAACAACACTAATCATCAGAGAAATGCAAATTAAAACAACAATGAGGTATCACCTCACACCTGTCAGAATGGCCGCCATCAACAAATCATCAAACAACAAGTGTTGGCAAGGGTGTAGAGAATAGGGGACTCTAGCACACTGCTGGTGGGAATGCAGACTTATGTAGCCACTATTGAAAACAATATGGTGTTACCTCAAAAATTTAAAAATTGAACTTCCATTTGACCCAGTGGTCTCGCTTCTAGGAATATACCCTAAGAAGCCTGAAACACCAATCAGGAAGAATATATGTACCCCCATGTTCATAGCAGCACTATTTACAATAGCTAAGATCTGGAAACAGCCCAAGTGTCCATCAGTAGACGAATGGATAAAAAGCAATGGTACTTATATACAATGGAGTACTATGCAGCTGTAAGAAAGAAAGATCTTTTATCCTTTGAGACAACATGGAAGTATTATCCTAAGTGACATAAGCCAAGCAGAAAAAGACAAATACCACATGATCTCACTTATATACGAAATATAATGAACAGAACAGTCTGAGGAATACAGTAGACCCAGAAACATGGTAGTAGGACACAGACTGACATCCCTCAGAAGAGGGGGTGGGGTGGGGGTGGGAAGAGATAAACCACAGAACTTATATGCATGCATGCATAACCAATGGACATGGACAACAAAGCCGGGGATGGGGCGACGGTGGGGGGATAGGGAGGAGGGTGTCAATGGGGTAAAAAAGGAGCAACATCTGTAACAAAAATAAAATAAAATGAAATGAAATAAAATGGATATTAATGAAAATAAGACAAAATAAAAACATTTTATTCTGAAAAAAATAAAAATAAAAATCAGTAAAGATAAAAAAAATTTTTAATATATATTTTTGATGTCTGATCAACAAAAATCAATTGTAGTAGATACAGGCTGAGGTTCAGATCCCCTTTTAGTAAAGGACTCACCATCCAGCTGCAAGTCCTGTGGTTAGCTGACTGTCTCTAGCTATTAGTGCCTTTAGTTTAGGGGTCTGCCTCAGCTAAAATCAGGCTCATCTCTGGGTGATCTGAGACAGTAAATAGAGTAACAATAGCTGAGGTCTAGTTCTTGTGAGATTTTGACCCACCAATGGCTGAACAGGCGGGAGGTGATAAAAGCTACCCACTCTCCCCCAACAAGGGATTCTTTTTGTTTGTTTGTTTGTTTTTATCCTCACCTGAGGACATTTTTGCTTTTATCTTGAGATAGGGTGGGAGGGAGAGAGGGAGGAAGAGAGAGAAACATCAAAGTGAGAAAGACACAGAGTGGTTGCCACCCACAGGACCCCAACTGGGGCCATGGACAAACTGCAAATGAGGTACCTACCCTTAGTGGGAACCAAACCCGGGACTCTCTGTTCTGAGGATCACATTCCAACCACTAAGCCAAACCGGCCAGGGCAACAAGAGATTCTTCTTGGGTAGCTTTTATCCCCTCCCTCCTGTTCGGATAAGGTTAAGAAATTGAGAAAAAGTGAGATTTCTCCTAATGTTTATGCTGTTTATTTGATCATTTTTATGGAAAGAAAAGGTGGATTTGAGCATTTTACATGTGTCAGTTACAACATTTGCTGCAAATGGTATGTGAATGAAATAAAGGCATACCTCTGAGATACTGCAGGTTTGGTTCCAGGCCGCTGCAATGAAGTGAATATTGAAATATAAAAAATTGTAATCTTTTTGCTGGTGGAGAGTCTTAACCTTCATTTTGTAAGAAACACACCATCTGTATGTGACACGTGCAATAAAGTGGAGTGGACTAAAAATGAGGTATGCCTGTAGTCTAGCCACTCAAGTGTGTGTGTGTGTGGGCGGGGGGGCTAGTCCAGGGAGGCTCCAGAGCAAGCAAATAATACTTGAAGTACTAGTATTGTAGGAAATGAGGTGTGATTTAGACAGCACGAAGCACGTGCTCACCCTCTAGGGCTACATACCTCAGCCAGCCCCCTCCCCTCCCCCCCTGGAATGAGCAGTGATGCCTGAGATGCCTCTGACAGCAAGAGAAATTTGTGGGGGTGAAGGGTTGCAGTAGGTGGATAAATGTACCCCAGAGGTGCGCATGTGTAAGGTAAGGAGCTATGAAACAACATCGTTGCATTTCTGTTTTGTAGGTGAGCAAAAGTGGTAAGAGAGTTGGAAATGAAAAGCGTTGACACTCCACATATAAGAATAGCAGACGAGACACTAGATGCTATGCTGAAGAGTTTGGACTTTTTTTTTTCCCTTCTGAAAGAGGAAGTGATTAACTGTTAAGTTAAGATGTGATATAATTAATTCCCACTTAGGAAAATCTTTCTAGTAGATAGGGAAAGTGATAGAAAACTAGTTTAGAGATGTAATGCAGTAAGTCAGGTAAGAAGCAATGAGTATCTACAAAAAGTTAATGAGTAATAGAGAAGAGTGAGTCCAAGAAATATCAAGAAATAAGAGATCAAAGAGTTTGGTACCTGTCAGAAGGGAGGGGTATTGGGAGTCTGTGTTAAAACGGTGAGGGGATTGAGCAAAGAAACAACTCCTAGACACAGACAAAAGTGATCACCAGAGGGAAGGTGAGTGGGAGGAAGTAGAAGAGGGTAAAGGGGGGATAAATGGTGATGGAAGGAGACTTGATTCAGGGTGGTGAACACACAATACAATATATAGATGATGTGTTAAAGAATTGTACACCTGAAACCTATATAATTGTATTAAGGTCACCCCAATAAATTCAATAATTAAGGAAAAAAAAGAGTTTAGTACCAGATTTAGTTCCTAGTAAATAAGAGCTGAGGGTGTAGGATGATTTCCTGGTTATTTAAAAAAAAATAGGTATTGCCCTGGCCGGTTTGGCTCAGCGGTTGGAGCTTCGGCCTGCGGTCCAGGGAGACCTGGGTTCGTTTCCCGCTAAGGGCATGTACCTTGGTTGCGGTTTGTCCCCGGTCCTGGTTGGGTTGTGAGGGTGCCAACCACTCGATGTGTCCCTTTCACGTTGATGTTTACCTCTCTCTCTCTCTCTCCCACTCTATCTGAACAAAATAGAAAAAAAAAATTAAAAAAAAAAGATATTTTGAGAAATAAGTATGTAGAAGTGAAGCTTTGGGGCTGGCAAAGGTTGTTGAGATGAAGGTTGAGTTTAAATGTCTATAGGACAGTGCTGAGTGTATGCTCCATGAGTAGTTCTATTCCTGGGTTGAAGCTTGGAAGACAGGTCTAAATTAATTATTTGCATCTGAGAGCTACCAGCACAGGGTAAGATAAGCCATAGCTGTGGCACGCACATGCAGAGTATGAAGATTAAGTGCCCACAGATCTCCAGTGAAAGAGCTAAGTATTATATTAATGTCATTAAAGATAAAGACTATAACATGGCCATTGGTTTGGGAACTAATATTTAATTACAGCAGGGGAACAAATGGTGAAATATCTCTCTTAGAGTATAGGTAGTTTTATTCCACTGATATGTATACACGGCAATGGGAGGGAGAATTTAGGATGACTCCTTATGTTTCTGTCTTCGGCAACAAATGGGCAAATGAATCCCCAAAGAAAAGGACTGACAGAAGAAAAAAACAAAAAAAACAAAAAAAAACAACAACACATGTATGTATATCATATGTGGCATCATAGTTTTGGGATGCAGTAGTCTATTTTGCAACTTAGAATATTATGAAAAATGTCAAACTGTAGAGGAAATTACCCTTTCATTAGTCAGATGCAATTATCTCCCACTGTGTGAAGCTGACTTTGCTTATCAAGAGCAAAGTGAAAGGGCTAAGCCTATTATGCTGTCTCTTTGATGTTTTTATAGGATATAATGAAGGAGGAATGTTCAGTGTTGAAGCTGCAGCTGAAAGAGAAGGATGAACTCATTTCCCAACTTCAGGAAGAGCTGGTAAGTGATAACAGTATTTGGCCCACAAGTGTGTTTTTCTTGCAAGGTTATTTGCTATAAATCCTGCAATGACTTATTTGTTAACTCTAATATAAATTACTTATAAATAGTAATTCAGTCTCATTATTAATTTTACAATCCTACAGTAGTAAGGAACTGCCGATGTGAAAATAGCATGTTTTATATTATGTATTGAACTTGATATAATTTAAGAAACAGACACTGAACCAGGCTTAGACATTTCAGTTGAATTTGAAAAATTGTGAAGCATAGGGGCACATTTTATTTTATAAAGTGCATAATTTAACTCACTATATCTAGAGTTACAACCATGTAATATAAAGCAAATTACTTTGTTATCCTGCAAACAAGAACATTTTGATTTTACTTTTTATTTTCATAAACCTATCAAAAATGTATTAGCCTAGTGAGACATTAATACAGATATTATTTTAGATAAATCCAAAGTGTAAATATCATACATAAATATGTATATAGTTCATGTTTTCAGGGTGTTTTTAAAAAATGTGACATCATAAAAATATAATAAACCATACTTTTATAACATGAAAACACATTTGGTAACAAGTACTGGGCATTACTTTTCTCAGTATGTGTTTTCAGTTTATGACTATTTACTATGTTAACAGTAATGTATTAGGTGATTATTAAATATAATTAAATGACAGAACAGATTTTATAGGCCATTAAGCTTCTGAGAACTTTTAGCATGTTAGATGACATACAAATTTAGAGCATATTTTATTGACTCGATGATTGACAGCAAGTTTACTGAGACTTGACCTTTATTTAGACTGTTCTATGGTTTCATCAATGCTGATTATTGATCTCATGAGCATTTATTGTTGCTGATTTCAATTTTTAAAAAAAATCCTTGTATAAGTGAACTTGAGCAGTTCAAGCACATGCTGTTCATGCATCAGCTGTAGTCAGTTTGGGTAATTCAAATGCAAAGTAGAAAGATTCACTTGTGCCTCATTTTACTCAATCAGCCAACAGAGGACTTTATTTCTGGAGGAAGGGGTACTAAATTTCATTAGAGCTATGTAACATTGGATCTGGAAGTGATAACTTCTTTCTCATTTAGTCACCAAATGAAGGACACATCTTCATCCTGTATTAGAATATTACAGTGTCCTAGGGTTGTATAGGTAGCGAGGCAACAACTGGAGAAAGAAAATGTTCTCTTAAGTCAGGAATTGTTTGGTAAACCTGAAGGAACTGGTTTACTCCCACCTGCGATATAAGAGAACAGAATCTCCTGGTCTCATACCTGCTATGAGGTAATGGGGCGGGCACTGGCTAGTTGTACCTATGTGACATCGGATATGCAAATAGCCTTTTGCATGTTGATAATAAATTCTATTTTGTATTGGCCTTATAAAGCGTGTTCACAAAATAGTGGAATAACCCAAATAGTGTTTGAAATGATCAAGTTTAAAACAACTCTCCCATCAAATGAGATCTTTAAAATGTTTTATTCCTCTCTTCTCTCCCCTAGAAACTTATATAAGTTTTGTTGAGCTTGTTGAGGAATTTTAGTAACTTTGGTTTTGTTAGTTGGTTTTTCTTTGAAACATTTCTTCTCTTGTATGAAAATTTATTTGTGACTTATATTTGTGAACCCTTAATCACAGTAATTTTTATTTACATTTCCATTATATTTAGTGTAAGATTTATTTCACATCACTGCTTGCTTTCCTCTTCGTCTTACTCCATCATATAGTCTCGTCTGGCTTATTTATGGTTTGGTTAGAATCCTTTCCCGAGTGTTTCCTTCTGGTGAGGTATTGATGATGTGGTCTCTAAATCTTTGAACATCTCTTTATCTTGAAAAATAAAGGATACTGCTATGGATTGAATTGTGTTCCCCCAAATTCATATGTTGAATGTGTACTCTCCCCCCCCCCACAATGTGACTGTATTGGAGATGGGGCTTTTAGGAGGTAGAGTTAAATGAAGACATAAGTGTGGAGTCCTAATTTGATAGAATTATTGGCCTTGTGAGAGGATGAAAAGAGAGAGAAAGCTCTTCTTTCCATGGCCAGGCACTGGGGAAAGGCCACGAGAGAACACAGAAGACTGCTGTTTGCAAGTCAGGAAGAGAGCACGCAGTAGGACCGACCGTGCTGGAACCCCAGTCTTGGACTTCTACCCTCCAGAACTATGAGAAAATTAACTTTTGTTCTTAAGCCACTTAGTCTATGATATTTATTATGGCAGCCTGAGCTAAGACAGATACCATGTCTAAGCATAGTATTTTTAGGTTCGATTCTTTTTTCTTAGAGAATAACGTTCCATGTTTCTTTATTTTTAATTCAAGTGCTACACATGCTATTTTTCCATGGTTCACCTAGGTGTGTGACTTTTTTTCCCTGAATTATGAGTTGTATCAGTAATTCTATTTACTCCATTGAAGTCTTCCTTCAAAATATAATTTTTTTTCTTAAAGTCTTCCCTTAAAGTTATAGAATATTTTTTCTCCTGAAACTCCTAATTCCATTTTTGGTCTCATTGATCTATCTTTCACATTTCCTTATATTCTTCTCTTAGCATTGAACTATTTTATCTTTAACCGAAAAAATTTTCCTACCAATATTCTAAGCCACTAATTTGGTTCTCAACAATGACTACCCGTTTATAGTCCAATATATATTAAAATTCTGAAATCTAGAAAATAACTTTAATGTCTTAATTACATACTGTTAAATATTCTTTTTATTTTGACATTAAATTGACATTTGTGTGGTCAGCATTTCTATTGCACTTGAAGTGGCCTGTCCTTAATATTTGTTTTGCTCTTTCTTCTTAGGATCTTTGTTCCTCTTAAGATCCACAGTTACATTCTTTTGCTTGTTTTTTTTTTGTTTTGTTTTTTTTGTTTTTTTTTTCTCTCTATTCATCCTCAGTACTCAGATTTTTAAAAAATTGGAATATTTAAACCAGATATGGTCACAGGCTCGGTACAACCTGCTTTTGTTGACCAGTAATAATGAATACACTTGAAGGATATTGGTCATTGGCCTTTTTTCTTTTGATTTTAGAGAGAGGAAGTGAGAGGGAGAGAGAGAGAAACATTGATGAGAGAGAACATCAATTGGCTGCCTCCTGCGTGCCCCCCACTGGGCATATGCCCTGACCAGGAATCGAACTGGCGACCTCTTGGTGAATGGATTGACACTCAACCACTGAGCCATACTGCCCAGGCATGTCGTTGGCGTGACATCCTGAGATCTTTTCAGTTACAAATGTTAGACATCACTGGCCAGTGGCTGCTTTGCAATTTTCCCACCCCAAAAGATCCTCCTTGGATAAGAAATTTGGAAAGTATCACCCTTCTTGCAAGGGTGGGTACATTCCATCAGGAGTTTTCTCTCCAGAACCTTGATTTCTCATTCTTAACCCAGGCTTTTCCCGTGGCTTCAGTTAAGCCCCAAGGAGAGCGAAGTCTTGAGCCTGCTCTCCTCTCTGCACACCCATCAGAACTCGAACTCTTTCACACATGCCTTCGAGCCTTGCCTTTGTGCCCTGGACTCTCTTCCAACCCGCAAGAAGTTAGTGTCAGCTTAGAAGGGAGTAGTGTCAGGAAATTTCATTCGGGATACCATCTTTTTTGAGACTCTTTTCTCTTGCACCCTCTGATGAGTAAATTCAAAATGGTAACTGTACTGTGCATTCTCCCCCTGCACAGTTTCTTTAGCACAGCTTTGGTGGTGGCCCATTACAGAAAGCCCCAAGGCGTATACCAGGTTTGGTCAACTTTGCGTTGGGTTAGAAGATTCAATAAGAAATAGAGCAAGGTAGGCATTTATTCCCTTCATGTTCCTGTGGCCGTATCTTTCTCTTACTTAAAGAGCAGAAGGAGTGACTATACTGAAATAAAAAATCAGGGTATGAGTGTGACTATGTGACTGTATTTAGTCATTTTTCTTCTGACCTCAGTTTTTCAGTTATCAAATAATATTAACATAATACTAAAAATATAGAAAAATATTAAATATTACTCAGTAATGAATTTGATAAATTATATATGGTATATATTATAACATATTTATATAGCTGTGCATTTATAAAATTAATGGGAAAACTGCATATAGTATAACATTTTATGAAAATATACATTATATGAAAATATACATGCATAGAAAGTTTAGTGTAATTAAGTAATATGATAATGTTTAGATTCTATTTTATGTAATTTGGTAGTGATTCACTTTTAATAACAAGTATATATTCTTTTACAATAAAAATCAGACATCTCTTTGGAATATAAATGAAGAATATAGATTGAGTTTAGTGGTTTTCATTCTGTGATGTGTGTATGTGTGTGTGTGTGCGCGCGCGTGTGTTGGGGACATGTCTTTGTGGAGACTACTATAACAAAATACTGTAAACTAAATGGCTTAAACAGCAGACATTTATTACCATTCTGGAGGCAGAAAGTCCAAGATGTTGGCAGATTCAGTGTCTGTGAGAGCCTTCTTTCTGACTTCTGACAGCTGTTTTCTCCATATGTCCTGAAAAGTCCTTTTTTGGTGCGTGTGCACAGGGAGAAAGATTGAGAGCTCTCATGACTATTCCTCTTCTCATAAAAACACCAATTCTGTCATGAGGATCTCACCTTCATGACCTGATCTAACCCTAATTCTCTACAAAGTCCTCACCTCCAAATACCATTACACTGGGGCGGTGGACTTGAACATGAAATTTTGGGGGACACAGTGTTTAGTTTGTAACAGGGAAAAAGAAGTGTCAGAGAGGTCTTATGAAATTATACCCCTTTACAACGACTTGAAGGTAGCAGTTATGATTCTACTGTTTTTCCATATTATAATTCTCTGTAACATTGTAATTGACAAAAAGTGACATCTAAGAATAAAAATTAATCAAACGGCCTGACCTGGTGTGGCTCAGGGGATTGAGCATTGTCCCATGGACTGAGAGGTCCTGGTTCAATTCCTGGTCAGGGTGCATGCCCA